ATATATATGTGTGTGTTCTTGACTCAGAAGCAAAATTGCTGTTCCTTTTTGTCGTGTTCTGACATGTCGCCTCAAACACAAACTCTCTGTAAATGATCAGACAGAGCAGACAGGAAGGAGAGGGACAAATAGCTTCTCTTTTCCATCACTCTCTCATTCCTTCTGTCCTCCATTCATCTTCCTCTCTGATTCCATTGATACCCCCATCCATCTCCTACCTCAGTCCATTAGCTCGGACCATTGTATGCTTCTTCCCTCCATCCATCCCCTCAATTTCATCTTAATCCCATCATCCTCCTCCCCATCACTTCATTATGCTCCTTTTCCTTTTCATTGTTATGGTGTTGGAGAGTGCCAAACTTCCATTTGTTCTGTATAAAAATGAAAACGGGAGGAAAAAAATTAAATATATGCATCCCGTACAACTACAGTGTGATTAAAAATGTGCAGACARCAAAATCWTTAAAGCTTTGTAATGTCATTTTAWATTAATTAACTGTTTACTAAATTTGAAAAGTTTCTTCAGTTATCATTTATTGAATCTGTCCCATCTAATTAGTTTAATCTTTGGTAACTGCTGGTAAATTTRGCCAGTTTGAAGTGGTGTCCTGTGGACTGCCACCTGAAGTGTGGGTCTGTAGCTGTAAATAATCAATCATTTTGTTCTCATTTCTCACATTATCACACAGAATGATGATAACTTTCAGCTTTGTCTATGTCTCATGTCTTTAGCTGATTGCCTGCTTTAYAAGCTCTGTTGTGTGAGACTCGTGGAACTGATGGGCATGCAGCGCTGAATGCTTAGGATCAAATGAGGAGTCAATTTAGTGTGCAGTGAGGCTAAGCTGCGACATCCAGGCAAATACCACAACTCTAAATGTTTGTAGAGAAGTCAATAGCAGTAACACCAGGAAAAGCTTGTGGGTGGTGGGGAACTTTTTATTCATTGGACTGCTCCAAACTGCTAAACACAGAGCTTTACTTATCCAAACACATAATCTTCACCCTTTTTTTTTTTTGGTGAAACACCAAGATAAGTAGTTTGTGCTGAATGGTGCAACAGATGCCAATGCTCTGGTCCTGCAATATTGCCTTAGTTTAGCCATTGGCTTTTAATTAAAACCAAGCAAAGTCTGCCTAAATCAGGAGTGCCCAAACATTTTCCCCGAGAAGGCCAAAATGAAAATCCATCCAGGGCTGCGGGCCAAATGCAGTAATATAATACATGAAATACAAATAATTTTTAAGTAAAGTCCTTTATTTTTAACGATTAAGCTAGCAGCCAGTGCAATGACCCTCATTTGTTTTAGTCTGCACACTTAGAGAAAGTCTGCCATACGCTCAAATAGCAAAGGCTCATGGGACATTTCAAAAATTGATAAAATATGAGGTTTCGTGGCCTTCTAATGTGTGCAAATCTACATGTGGGGTTTAATCTGATCTAAATATCTCTTGTTGTTACTTCATGTTTCATGTTTATTCCTAATATATCAAAGATTAAGTCAGCACCGTAATTGAAAACTGCCTGCACTACAGCCCTTTATATAGTCATTTGACCAATGAAAACACTGTGTTTCTACATAGGATAACAGGTTACAACCTTGTAAGTTTGGCAACTGTTGGTGGGCCAAAGCAAATGGCTTGGTGGGCCAAATTTGGCCCCCCGGCCCCACTTTGGGCCCCTCTGCCCTAAATAAATGCATTATGTTATTTCAGTGACAGTCTTGCTAGTTTTCTTCACACCATATTATCAGTTCTGTACTTTAAAAAGATCTGCAGCTTCTTTCTGTAGAAAGAAGGAAAGAGTAACTAGTACCAGAAAATCTGCAACACCTAAAATTAATTAATGTAAATGTTAGAAAAGATGTGCCAACTAAAAATGAATTGCCATTAATACAAGAAAAGTTGCTCTTGCCTATATTTATATAAACTGTAAATATGTGGAAATGTGTGCAAAAACAGACTGATGAACACCAAGGTGTCCAAATTCAGGGGCTGGGTCCTTCGAATGACCTGGCCTACCCGGTCTTGGTGGGCCGGTCCTTGGTCGACCACRAAGACCAGAAATAAATAGCTGAGATKGTCTAGTTTTCTGCTTTATTCACGCCCATACCCCTGTATATGCCCTGTCACCTAGCAAACCTGCTGACACTAAACAGAAGCAAAAATAGATTGAAATTAGCAAAATATCAACATATATTAGTATTATTGATATCATAAAAAGATAAAATTAGCTTAAAGGCAATATTTGAAAAACTAAGGGTCTCACTGTAGTTGCATGTTTATTTCATTATACCAGCTTGTTTAAATTCTGACAAGAAAAATATTTAAAAAAACATGTTTATAGAGATGACAAAACCATTAATGACACAACCTTTTAAAATTTCTCTTGCTTCGTCTGCCATTACGAGAGGAAATAAATATCCAGTTGGCCCCCAATGCATTATGGGATATGGTGGACCGAGAAGGATCCATCGGACCCGTTCCTCAAATCGGGGAAAACGGAGGACAATTTGTTGGCTGCAGTCTTCAAATTTCAAATGCAGCCTTCAGAGGACGCAGTCCCTGAATTTGGACACAACCCAAATGTAACATTGCCAGTGTCTCAGAAGTGTGAATGTGGCATGTGCACTTGAAAATGAAATCTTGCAATGGAATTCATTTGTAAGTTTTTTTTTTTTTACCCTCTCTAACTGTGTCATGTGTGCTGAAGCAGAGGTGGTCGCTGGAAGACCTCGGCCCTGTGGAAAAACCGAGTTCACCTGCAGCAATCGACGCTGCATCCCTGTGCAGCTTCAGTGCGACCTTTTCAATGACTGCGGGGATGGTGGCTCCGATGAGCAGGACTGCAAGTCCTGTAAGTACAGCAACAGCTAACTCGAGCAAACAGATCAGAGAAAGTGTTCAAAGGGAGATGAAACATGGCAAATGTCAAAATGATCTTATCATGAAGCTCAGCAGTCCCCTCACTTTMGAAGGGGTGTTATGTTGTTTATGATAATATATGTGTGAACATGTTTGAGGTGTGCTGCGCTCTGTGTGAATGATTAGGATGCCCTCTTAGTTGTTGCACATCAAAAGAAAATCCCAGCATGCGTCGAAGATGCAGAGGTGTAATCAAAGACCTGTGTTTATTTGTAGTTTCCAGCGGAGATGTATGTGGAAAGAAAACAARTCCGTGTGGGGAGGATGCAATTTGCAACCAAACAAACGTTAACGCGATTTGTCAGTGCAAACCTGGCTTTAAGAGGAACCAAAAAACAGGACAGTGTGAAGGTAATGTATGAGCAACTCTGGTTTGTTTTTAGCTAAACATTTTTAGCAAAGTACACTTTATTGAATTATTTGCAATTTCATGGAGAAATATCAAATCAAACTGTCACGTAATTATGCAACTCAGAAATATATGTTTCTTGAAAATGTAAATAAATAAAATATCCTGTATGATTTGTTATTTTAAATTATATTTATAAAAAAGTCCTAAAACATACTGTCCATCTTACCAAGTTTTAAAACCTTATATCAGCCAAAAAGTCTTTTTGATCTTGTTTTAAGACAGATTTACTAAACAAGAACTGATTGTGTA